AGGTGCGCTCCCGGGTCTGGGCGGGCGCGGTCGGCTGCACTTCCCGCTCGGAGTCCGGGGGCTGCGGTAGGTTTCCGGGCGCGCTGCGGCGGAGTTGCCTGCGCCCTTCCCGCGGGGAGCATCTGCGGACCTACCGGGAATTGGGGTGAGCAGGGGTGGGGCTGATGGGCTGATCCCTAGAGCGAGTGTCCCTCATCTTGTTGCGGATGTCCTGCCCGCTCTCTCCCCGCCCTGCAGGCAGCCTCGTTCAGTTTTAATTGGAAGGACGTGCCAACATTGGGGAGAGATGGAGAAACCCTGCGGGGAGTCCTCGGAAGAACGCCTCTGGAGGTGGTTGGGTACTGCCCATTCCGCGGAAGGTCTGCAGGGATCATGATCCGGGCCGGCATTTTTTGGTTCCGTTTATAATTTCACCGTATCCAGGAATGCATAGCAAAAGGAGGTTTAGAGAGATTTACATCAAGTGGTTATCTCTGAATTGTGATCATCTCTGATAATCATTTGAATATTTTCATTTTCTTGATCTATTTTCTATTCCTTGCTCAGGCACAACATACATATACTTTTACCCCGTGGGAAATTTTTGTTAGAAATGGAAAACATCCTAATTTTAATGTCTGAGATTCAATCATAGTTGGTGATTTTTAGCAAGGGACGGTAGTTTTTGAGTGTTTGGAAGGACATTTTTTCCCCCCAGTTATTTATGACCTCGATTCAGGAGAATATATTAATCTTTTGGTTCAGTAGTTGAATTTTTAGTGGCAACCTGACGGCATTTTATCTGTGTGTTTGTCGTAAGAGACCAAATAAATATTTACAAGTTTTTTAAATCTTGAGTTTTTACTTTTAACCCAGGTCAGGTTTTAGCAGCAAGGAATATATGTTTCAGGCAATCCTCCTCCTACCTCAGACTTCCCTAAAAGTTAGGTAAGTCTGTCCTTTTGGTGAATGATAGATACTGTGTATAAAAGAAAAATGAAAAACTCAAACGTAATAACAGTTCTTCGGATACATAGTGGACAGACAGTACGGTTGGGCAAAAAAACTTGATTTGGGGGAGGCATATGTGAGGCACTGTGATAGAAGGTAAGCACCTAGAGGTTGGGCACCGGTGAGGTACATATTCATTTTCATTGCTTGGAAGATCATCAGCAATCATGAACAAACAGATGTCACATCGTGTTTCACAAACTTTGGCTTCCCTACAGGTATCTGTGCCACCCGAATTGTTTGATCCAGTGACTCTGCAAGGAAAGGTCTCTGAGGCCCCCGTCTGCTGACTGCATGACAAACCCTAAAGGACATGCCAATCGTGATGGCCCGGGACCTGGAGGAAACGGCATCGTCCTCAGAGGATGAGGAGGTGGTAAGCCAAGAGTAAGTAAGAGCCCGCCTGCCTCGGAGCCTTTGCCTCGAGGGTGGGGAAAGCGTTCTCTTTTACTTAGGCACATCCTTCCACCCAGTGTCCTTCCTTTGGTATTTCCTGATTCTGGTTTTAGCTTCTACCCATGATCTAATGAAAGATCTTATTATTTGGTCCTTATCCGAAATGAGATAGAAGGCTCTGTGAGTGAACGAACATCGGCTCTAGGTGTTCCAGGTAGTAGCTCTTAGTCAGCTCCTGATCGGGGCTTCTAACATAGGAGATTTTGAAATGTTTTAGATAGTGAAGAAAAGTAGGTCTCCAAACACTGTGAAACTGGTTATGTTACTTTCTCAAAAATCTTTACAATGATGGAATGATGATCATGTAGAGAGGTCAGGTGACTTACCAGAGTCATTGAGGGGCCGTACATCAGAATGCTGTCGCCTTTGCTGGGTCTGTTGAACAACAGTGCTTTCCTGAGTTCTTTTATGTAAGAGACTCAAAATAATAAAAATGTAAGTGCTAGTGGTAAGAGCAGCTGCTATAGATGATGGTATGGGCTTTAACTACTGTATTTCATTTAATCTGAAGCTGCTGTTATTCCCACTTTATTAAATTTGTCCTCACAAATACCAAAGGACTTTCTCAGGGATGTGTAGAGAGTAAGCGATGGATTGAGATTCAGACCTAGTTTTACTGAATTTTGAAGCACTTTGCTATTTTGCCTCCTTCAACCTTATTACTTGACAGAGAACAAAGAGAAAAGCTGGCTTATAGTTAAGATTCGTTTTAAGATTTTCTGCAGGTCCCCTTGGATATGTGCTGTATTACCTGAGAAATGGGGATAATATCTCCCAGGCTATTTTGTAGGAGTGTGTTTAGGATCAAATAGAATAATGTCTATGAAATTACTGTGTAAATTGTAAAGCGCGGTACACGTATAACATACTATTCTTACTTGCTTTAATATTGAACTTAAAGTGGACTTCTTATAAAGTGGAAGATTTTTCATTATTTAATATTGTAACTTGAGAAAATTATTGAAGCATTAATAAAGCTTTGGGGAAAGGCTTCTCATCACTGTTAAGTTGTAGAAAATAATAGAGGCTTGACATTATATTTGGGTCATTCTCATTCAGGATAATTAAATGGACAATTCCCTGTGGCCATTTGCCTCCTATGACATCTTGCTTTCTGTGTGCTGCCTCTTACTCATTTCATAGAATTTTAACTTCTTCTCCAAGCATCAGTCTTTCTAATTTCAAGATTATTGTTTTACTCCATAAATATTTTTCTTCTTAGTGGGCTTAGAGGTTGGGCCTGACAAGTATGGGGAATACTGGGACCTTCATACTGGTACATGTCTGGACTACAATGTGTGATGTCACCATTTGGTTGCTAGGAGGAGAGATGCTAAATCATTATCCAGCCTCATCACACCAGATGAGGAAGATTATGATCACAGGTAATCTAGTGGCAAGTTTAATAGCTAACACAACTTAGAAGTAGTGATAAATGTAAATGATGTTTTAATATACTGGCATCAACTGTAAAACGGTATAAAAATCTAATTTTGGATAATTCTAATAGTGCTGTGCTTTGCTGCCTATATTCATAATTGAAAAATGTTAAATTTCTAGTAAAAATGAGTGAAATAAAGTGTAATATCCCCCTCCCCCATTGCCCCTGTCCCCCCAATCCAAATTCATGGACCTCGTGAAGTTTATTTTTTGTTTTGTTTTGCTTCTTTCACCCTCTTGCTATTGAATTTTGATGGTTAATCTTGCTCCATCAGCTCGTCTTGTTTATTAGACACTTGTTTTATACATTGGGAATCTTAAGTCAATCTTGTTCACACTTAGAGCAATAGGCTTACTTTTTAAAGTTTTTTGGAAGTTAGAAGGCCTTAAATCATCTAAGGAAGTTGATTTGATGCAAAGATGCATATCCAGGGACATCTGTTAGATCTGCTCGATTTCGAGACTGTATTAAAGTAGTTAATGCCTAGACCTTAGGACTAGAAACGGTCCAGGCAGTCCTTACTCTGCATGGCATTATTTCAGATGGTAAATGTAGAGGGGGTTCTTTTTCTATATTTTGCTTGGGGGTCCCAAATACAAGTTTATATATAGATATGGAAACTTTCATAAAAGGATTTGATGCTGCTTTTGTCGCTGGAAAAATAGTCACTTTAATTTCCCGAATAAAAGCTGGCTTTGTATCAGTTGAGAAGATCATCAACATTTACTTGGAAAAAATAAAAGATCATCAACAAATGATTATACAATGAGTGGTCCAGGAGTTCAGAGAAAGAAGGTATCACTCAGGGCTGGGGGAGCGGGGCAAGGCCTTGGAGAGTGGGATTAAGTGGCATTTCCAGCAGGGACAGTGGTATGACTAAGGCATGGAAGTTTTGAGTTATGTAGGCTGCATCCCAGGGGTGAAGAAGAATATATTCCTCATGAAATTGCTTCTTAAAACCCAAAACGTTCTTAGGTTCTCAGTAAAGTCAACCATAAAACTGGTCTTCTTTGATAATTAATCATTCAAATATGCTGTCCTCTCATGCCTGTAAGGCATATTTTCTTAATCTATTCCAGTTTCTGTGCAAAAGAAAATTTAAGGTCCCAATTTTTAATTTCCTAATCATTTAGAATCTTTTCCCTGTAGCACCACCTGGTGGGAGCATGGTTTTAATGGCAATTTAGCATCTGCCTTAAGTATTTTGTAGTTGAGCTTATTGAATTAATAATTTGTCTGCTACCTCTTTTATATTTTTATGGGTTGTAAGTGAAGAGATTTCTCCTTCAGGGATTTGGCTTTCCACAGCGTGAGTGCAGTCAGGGCCTTGGCTCTTCTCAGCTGTGCATCTGCTGTTTGTATTCTGATACCCCTGTCTTATCGCAGTGTTCCATTGTGTGTAAGTGATAAGGCACAGTGGTGCCAGTTTGTAGCTAATGCCAGGTTGACAAGGAACTTCGGATAGTTTCCAGAGTTTCTACCCAAGACTGGATAGGCCGCCTGTTTTCCCCTCTATCTATCCTCTGACTTAGAAATATAGTGGAAAATTAAAGTTGGAAGAGATCACAGGAATAGCTTGACCCCATGCCCACGTATTGTAGGTGTTAAAGATCAAAAAAGCAAGCAAAACAAAAAAAATCTTTGCTAAAAAATGCACCCTGTAAGCACCATTTCTCACAAGTGGGCTCAATCATCCAGGTCAAAGAGCAAGGACAACAAGCATCCACATTCCATTTCTACAAAGCAGGAAATGAGCTAGGTATGGTGTTCTCTGCTCTCCTCACTAAAAGGCTTTTGGCAGCTCATTCCCAAGTCTAAAGGCTGCCTTCTAAAATTGGTAGTCTGCAGCCTATTCATTCACAGTATGGATGTTTTTAAACTTGGGTTGGGAGGGTCTGACTTGGCCTTGAGATTTGTGGTTAAGGGTGTGGCCATGTGAGTTTTTTTGTTTTTTTAAAAAAATATATTTTACTGATTTTTTACAGAGAGGA